CTCTGACCAGCTGTGCTGCCCAGGGCTGACTGCCAGGGGTACCCCCAATTCCAGGGAAACCTACGTGGTTCCCCTTTTCCCGGGGGACCTGCCTAGGTTGCACACTTCCTCCTCGTGGCCACCTGTGCATCCGGCTGTGGTCAGAGCAGGACATCTGTCCCATCTGGCGAGGTGGGCTTGCTCTTAGAAGGCGCCCTCGATGCCCTACTGCCTGCCCCCGGCATGTGGCACTCCTTCTGGGAATACCTCTGAGTTCTTTGGCCCAAGTCCCATGACACAGCTCCCAGAACTTCAGTCATCCTGTCTGGCTGTGGCCTGCCTTCTGTGCCAGTCCTCTCTCCACCTACTCTTCCTCCCTCTTCCTCTCCCTCCTCACAGCACCAGGACCCTTGGCAGGGACGATGGGATGTGTTCACCTGCAAGACGGGCACCCTTCCTGCTCCCTCGCCCACGTTGCCAGTGCTACGGCACAAGCCAAGTTGCACACACCATAAATGTCATAGTCACAGCTGTCCCAGAGGGGAAGAGCCAGAGGCATGAGGTCATGGGGTTCGGCCTTCTCCCAGGGCAGGATGGAGAGTGTGCCGGGTACGCAGCATCCCTGCTGCCCCCTGAGACACACCCCACAGAAGACCCTTGATATGAGGAAGGCAGAACCCCGGGGAGCAGCGGGGAGCCCTGCAAGGCCAGCGTCCCCGGGGGAGAGGTGCCTGAGTGGGGGAGGGTGGCTAAAGAGGGGCATGTGCTGCTGCAGCTCTGGGGGACCCCAGCTGGCTCGGCCCAGCGGGCTGATGGGATGAGGCTACCGCCAGCCTGGTGTTTATGCAGGCGGCTGGTGGGCTTTGCTGTTCCCAGGAGGGAAATAAAAAATATTGCTTCTTTGGGGTCTCGGGGCCAGGCCTGTCTCAAACTCTCCTCTGTGGAAATCGAGAATAATGGTGCCTCACTAAAACCAGAAAGTGGCTTGAGCATTTCTAAATCAATGAGAACGGGGCCTTCGAGGGGCCTAGAAAACCCAAGGTCTAGAGGGCAGGGGCTAATTCCATGGGATTTTCCCTGTGCCTCACAGCGAGTGTGAGGGCCAGTGCTGACTCTGTCCAGGTGTTCAGGAATTGCGTGCGCTCTTGTTTTACCAACACAGCTTCTTAGGCCACACCATTGGGTCTGGGGTCCTGGGGCCATGGCTGGGCAGCAGAGGTGGACGTTCCAGTCCCTTAGAGCTATGTCATTGACCCTCCCCATGAGTCAGAACCAGCATCTGTCACATCACCCCGACTTGCTTTCTTCACTGCACTTTTTACTAATTGATGCTTTCTTGTTGAGTTCTTATTTATTGCTTACTTCCCCTCACGGAAGGTGGTCTTCAGGATCCTTGCTCGGGCTTACCCTCAGTGCCCAGGGCTGAACACATGACCGCATTAATGAAGAAGTAGTGTATCGAACCCTGAACCTTCTGGGGCTTCACTCCACATCACAGGATGTGAGAATTACAGGAGATGCATAGGTGCTGCTCATTGCAGGTGCTTATGGATGATCAGAAATGCTTGGATCCCATGAAGGCACCAGGAACTTTTCCTGTCAGCCCCGGGAAGAACCTGGCTCCTGTTAAATAGCCTTTCTGACACATTTGGGTCCCTTTTCCATCAGCTCTATCCAAGTTCCCTATATTTAAGACAGTGCTTCTCAAACTTCAATGTGTATGCAGACTGCCTGGGGATCTTGTTAAAACGCAGATTCTAATTCAGTAGGTCTGGGTCAAGTCGGAGCTTCTGCATTTCTTTCTTTCTTTCTTTCTTTTTTAAATCAAACTGCCTTTTATTTTTCAGGGACTCTTGCTTAGGTTAGTCTCCCCAAATCTTTATACTTTACGCAAATGTATTTCAATAAATGCGCACGCATGCACACACACACACACACACACACCTTAGATTATGTAAAGCTTCCGATCACTATCTACCTTTCTTCCAAATCCTACAGTAAGAACAGAGCGTCCACATTTCTAACAAGCTCCTGAGTGGTGGAGTGATGCCTATGTTGTTGGTCTCTTTGAGTAGCAACTGGGAACCCTAGACCAGGTCACAGGTATGAAGCGCTCTGTTTTGTCACAGGACAAAAATGTCTGGAACTGACAAGGCCCATAGCAACTGTTACCATGAGCCTCTGAATTTTTTTTTTTTTTTGAGCCTCTGAATTTAAACCAGCCAGTTTTCTGGCCCCAAAATAGGTAAAACTCCCACCCTATTACCTACCCTATAGCATCTTAACCAGTCACCTGATGCCGCCCTTCCAGTAGGAATTTTCTGTCTTGAGGCCATAAAAATTGGCAGAGCCAGCCTCTGTTCTAACAGCGTCTCCCACTCTAATAAACTTTATTCTCCCTTCATTCTGCCTCATGTCTGGAAATTCATTTCCAACCTGTGCATAGACCATGACAGTAACATTCTATGAAAAATAACAACCACTTAGTACGTCCCATGCACTTCCACATATGTTAACTCATTCTTTGTTACAACCCACAGGGAGAGTGCTAGTGTTAACCCCGTTTTACACATGGACAAATGAAGCGCAGGGAGGTTAGGTAATTGGCCCAAGATAACAGGTCTAGTAGTAGCACCATTGAAAAGTAAACCGGAAGGTTTCCTCCAGAATCCATGCTCTTAACCACTGCATTTGACTGACCCTGATAACACTTATCAGGAACGATACACATCCAGTAAAACCACTCATTCTGGATATTCTTGAAACAACCTCCTCTCAAGGGCTTTAGCTCTCACATTTAATTCTGTGATATTTAGGGAGGCCGACTTGGCGTTAGCCCCACAGAACACATTGAGCCTTTCCAGTGCTCAGAACTTGGCGTGCGCTGAAATGCTGTGAGCATGGCATGGCCAGTGGTCTGGAGCCTGGTTAGTTTTAACGAGCACCTCGTGGGCTCCTCTGGGCAGCCCACGTAGAGTCACTGGAGCCACAGTGTCTGGGCGTCACAGTCTGCATATACGCCCCCTAGCTCTGAGCCACCGTGGCATCCCTCTAGGACAACAGCGACATCTTACCAGGCTGCAGACTGTGCGTGGCAGTGTCTGAGCTTTTGCACGTCTCGTATCTGCCTGTCAAAGAAAGATGGAAAGTGTATACATCCTCTGTTTACATGGTTACTTCCTCTATCACCCTCATAAACAGGGCCCAAAGGAGAACGTCACATCTAAAAATTCAGATGCTCATGGTAACCATGGAATGGGGGCCAATGCTGGACAATATTAGATCTCAGTGCAGTAAACTTCTCTAAAAATAAGTAGAGATGAAAGGGTACCTCTAAGTCTGTTGACAGCTGCCCAAGATTCAAATGCCATTCAGCCTAACCTTCTTCAGATGCTGCCTCTGATGCCTCTCGTCCACCCCTCCCTTTGGACACCTGTGTGGCATTAACAGAACCTGACCTGGTTGGTCATCTTTTTCTTGCAGTGGGGACCCTGTCTTCCCTGCAGTTGTCCCCAATGGAAACCACCCCCCCTCCACCTCCCATCCCAGGACAGGAACACCAGAGGAATGAGGGGATTTCTTTCTGCCATACTGTCCCCTAGACACACAGGAGGTCCTTACCAGTATTGGTTGGTAGAAATGTAGCTTTGGCCCTTTCTGGTATGAAGTGCATCTGGGACATGGGTAATTCGCCAAATAGGGGTCATTTAGGGAAACATTTTATGTGTGAATAGGAAAGTTTAAAGCCAGCCTATCAATTTCTTATGTAAATAATGCTTTTTAAATGCTGGGGAGCCATACAAAAAAGGGTGAAGGGGCTTCCCTGGTGGTCCAGTGGTTAAGAATACGCCTGCCAATGCTAGGTCACGGGTTTGATCCCTGGTCTGGGAGGATCCCGCATGCTGCAAAGCAGCTAAGCCTGTGCAACAACTACTGAAGCCGTGGGCCCGGAGCCCGTGCTCTGCGACTAGAAAAGCCACTGCCGTGGGAAGCTCGTGCACCACCGCGAGAGCAGCTCCCTCTCGCTGCAGCTAGAGAAAGCCCACCCACAGCGACTAAAACCCAGTGCAGTCAGAAATAGATAAATATTTTAAAAGGGTGAAACATTGCCATTTGCAGCAACATGGATGCATCTAGAGAATATCAAACTAAGTCAGACAAAAACAAATATGAAATCACTTATATGCAGAATCTAAAACCAGTACAAAGGAATCTATATAAAAAACAAACAGATTCACAGACATATTAAGCAAACTATGTTTACCCAAGGGGAGAGGCAGAGGGGATAAATTAGGAATATGGGATTAACAGACACAAACTACTATACATGAAATAGATAAGCAATAAGGATTTACTGTAAAGCATGGGGAACTATAGTCAATATCTTGTAATAACCTATAGTGGAAAATAATCTGAAAAAAATGTGTGTGTATATAACTGAACCACTTTGCTGTAGACCTGAAACTAATACAATATTGTAAATCAATTAGAATTCAATTAAAAAAAGATTTTTAAAAAGTGCTCCAAAGAATAGTTTGTGCTTATTAAAAAATCAGATTAAGTAGATTTCTTTGACCACCTCTTTTAAAATTGCCTAGAAGATCCTTCTTTCATTAATTGAGCCGTTGGTTCACATGTCAGGGGATGCAAGCAAATAGAATTTTTCTGTAATATTACTCATCACTGGTAAGAGCATACTGCGTACCCAGGATGGAAAAACAGCAGGTGTCCCAGTAGCTCGGGGACACGACAGTATTATTAGGAAAGCCATGGTGGTATTGGGAAGCATTTCTAGTCGTGAACACACTGGAGCCAAGCTGCCCTGGAAATGCCACCTGAGTCCAAGCACTGGTCCTCAACACGGGGCTGGATGCTCCTGACGGCCCCGGTGGTTTCTGGTTGGTTTCTCAACCTGCCTGTTGAGTCTCTGGGCTCTGAGCAGGAGATGGCTGCTAGCTCCCTCCTGCTTGTCCTCAGAACACTTTAAACGACTCCCTTTTAAAAATGTTCTCTCTTGCTAGGAAATAGCTAAAAACCTCACCAAGGAAAATGAGCAGATCAGAGAGGACGTGGAAGAAATTCGAACTGAGATGAACAAGCGAGGCAAAGAGAACTGCTCCAATAACATCCTGGACAGCATTCCGGACATCCGCTCGGCCCTGCAGAGGGATGCGGCTGCAGCCTACGCCCACCCCGAGGTATTGCCCCAGCCTCCGGGGGCTCTGACCACAGCCCTCCGGAAAGTGTACGCCCACCACCTCACAGGTGCATGGAGCCTTCAGGCTTCAGTCTCCCACGGGCATGGTCTCATTTCATCTACTCAACCGTCCTATAGTTCTGATGGGGCAGAAGTGGACCCCATTGCACTGAAGAGGTTCAGCCAGTGTTGAAGCCAGGACTCAAATCTGGGTCTCCTGAGTATCAGGCCCTGTTCTTTTTATTATACTTCATGCTGCCTTTTCGAGCATCCCTTGCCTTTATAAGTTAGGTGGCTTGTCTGGGACCATTCTAGTTTAGTCCTGCTGCCCTGGCCTGATTATCAATAACTCCTTCTTTCACTCTCAGAAGAGTCCCAGTGAGGAAGCAGTCAGCTGTGTGGTCCTCCCTATTTGTAAGGGACTTTGTGAGGTACTAGTACTTTCACCATCCATCATACCACGTGGTCCTCACGTGGAAGGCAGCTCTGGAAGGCAGCCTGAGGCCAACAGCAGTATCCTCACTTTGCAGAAGAGGAGACAGATCCAAGGATGCTCACAGTCTCCGTGGCTCAGCTGGGTGGTGGTGACAGGGGTCTCAGATCTCTGTCTCTGCCCACTCAGTCGTGTCTGGGTTGGTGCAATGAAACGAAACACTACCTCATGTGATTTGGGTGATGCCAAAGGGCCTATTTGCTTAAAAAATACCTCCCCATCTGATACTTGTTTCTTTCAGCTCTGGTTACCAAGTTATATTTGTGTGCTAATAGTTATATATGTTATTATTTATGTGTTATCTCCTAAATTGCTGCCTGTGAAACAGGAGCTAACCCGAAAAGAATGGAAGAGGAAACAGGTAAATTCTGGCAGCGGGACTTGCAGAGTGTGGATGCTATTAGCAAGGCAGGTCTGGATGAAAGTCTTGCTTACTTTTACTGGGCCACGGGTTGGTGGTGGACAGCAGAGCGTGGATTTCAGGTGACCCATTGCAGATCCCCTTAGCCTGGGGCAGGTGGGCAGGGTGTGGGTTGAGAGGGTCTGGGACACCGACAGCAAAGCCCTGAACTTGTGGCTCTATGTGCTGTGACACTGAAAAGGGCTGGGAAGTTTGCTGCAAAGGATTTGTTGCCTGGGTTGTTAAGAATCAGGGTAAGAGAGGAAGTAAGATTAGGCCTGTGGGCTTGGAACTCTTGAGCAAAGAAACTCCCCAAGTGGTGCCAAGCAGGCAGCAGCTGTCGGTTTGGGGAACCTTGGGCATGTGTTCCAAAGGCAGAAGAGCAGGCAGATTAGGACTTTGGAGACAAGAGGCCCTGAAGAGAGTCTGGTGCCTACACCGCGCCCAATTTGTAACTTGAAATAAACCCATTTCCAAACCAGAAAATAAGTACAAGGAAGGCCAGTAATTTTCTGGCTTAGCCCACGATGACTCCATTGATGGTTTTTTTGAAATATCGTGTATCTTCAAAAATTATTTTTATCCTCATTTTTGGGTGTTCTCGACATGCCAGTGACTGAGCGTATGTTTAGTCTACTTGGCGGGTCACCCCTGAGCAAGTCTGAACTTGTAAAGCAAAGAGCCAGAGGGCGTTTGCACCTTAAAGGAAACTGGGAGCACCCGTTCATCAGACCTGGGGCCCAGCGGCTCCTGTCACCGCCCTTGTGGCATCATCTGCCGCTCCAGCAGCTCCCTGACTTCAGTCCTCTCTGGCTCCAATTTCCCAGTCGGCGGAGCTTGAGAATTCCATCCGTTGTCTTGATGACACATTATGTGGTATGTTCAGGAGCCCAGCTCAGATTTCCTGAGGGTAAACAGCAAACCAAATCAAACACACCAAACTCTTTTTCTCCTTGCTCAGCAAACCTTGCTCCCTCCTGAAATCCCCATTCACACACTGCTGAGGTTAGCACAATCCACCCAATCCAGGGTGATGGTGGGGGTAGCCAGGGCCAGGGCAGGGCCAGAAAGGGGGGCGAGGTGAAAGGAGAGGAGGCCAGACTCTTCCTCTCCCTTTTCCTGTCTCTTTAGTGAACCCCGTGTTGAAAAGGGGGTAAGTGGGGGGTCTGGGTTTGGTTGTTATTTTCAAGGTTCTTATGGATTCTGTCAGGGTTTTTTGGAATGGTGAATGGCCTTGGTTGGAGGTGTCTTTCCAAGAAGGTCCGTGCGTGGAGGGTTGGCAGGGGGCTCTGGGGGCTGGGTGGAGAGGTCAGGGTGGGACTGGGAACATGGGGACACCAGGAGTTGAAGTCATACAACAGTTTAACAGAGAGAGGAAACCAAAACTTGGGGGCTGCTGCTGCCCCATGCAGCCTGTCGCCAGCGGATCCAAGGAAATTATATGTTCTCTGGCAGAGGCTGTCCATGGTCTTGCTCCATCTCCTTGGCTGGGAGAGGGAACTGCAGTTCCCGCTCATCCCTAAAAGTCTGGAATTAAAGACAGTTCCTGGGGTTTGCCACGAAGAAATGACAACTTGCTTTTGCAATGCAGAGGGAAACCAAGGTCTGGCAACTAGATGGCCTGTGGCGTCTGAGTTGAGGGCTGGGGCCTCTTGTCAGCCTCCCAGGCAGCTCTTTCCTATGGGAAATGAGGAATCCCCATGCCTTCTGGACACCAGCCAGACCACGGCCCTGAGGACTTTGGGGATGGCAGATGAGTTAGTCCTGCGGTGACAGCTGAGCACAATGCAGCTCTAACAAGGGGCATCACAGGCTCTGAAGGCAAGCAGCCCTGGGTTATCTAATAGCGTTATGACTTAATAAGGAGAAGGAAATGGCAACCACTCCAGTGTTCTTGCCTGGAAAATTCCGTGGACAGAGGAGCCTGGCAGGCTACAGTCCATGCGATCACAAAGAACTGGACTGAGTGACTTAACTTAGTAAGGGGCTTCCCAGGTGGTGCTAGTGGTAAAGAACCTGTCTGCCAACACAGAAGATATAAGAGACACAGGTTCGATCCCTGGGTTGGAAAGATCCCCTGGAGGAGGGCATGGCAACCCACTGCAGTATTCTTGCCTGGAGAATCCCATGGACACAGGAGCCAGGAGGGCTATGGTCCATAGGGTTGCAGAGTCAGACATGACTGAAGTGACTTAGCATGCTCATACATGATTTAATAAGTGCTCTCTCACTTAACTGATTAACCTTCAACCAGACTGCTAAATGACTCTGAACCTGTCTTTACTCATCTGTAAAATGTGGAGAATAGTATCTATCTTGCCTCATTGTTCTAAGGGTTAAAAAGAATATGAAGGGACATGCTTTTCCGTAATAGATGCTCAATGAAATGTCATCACCACCAGCCAAGTGTTCCCTGCACTTCTAGTGGCACTCACCTCCCCAGCAAACCGTGGGACATGGGGCAGGGGCAGTTAGCCGGAGCGAGGGCCGCCCGGGGCGCACGTCTGCCTGCTGCTTCCGGGCAGCTCTCTGGCCCCGGCAAGGGGAGGCTGGTGGAAAGTGTCCCCTGTTTTCCAGGAGTGGGTCAGAATGGGGAGTGAAGAACACATATTTAGGAGCTTCCCTGTCTGCAGTGCCATCTGGATAAAGTCTTTTGTCACGGGAAAACCAGTACAGACCCAGGGTGTGGTGGGGAATGAGGACTTCAGATTTTCTCCAGGCTAGATTTTAAAGGTCAGAACAAGAATCTGATTTGCTTCTTCCTAGGCAGAGTGAAAAAGTTGGTCAGGATAGCTGGATCCCTGACAGCTGATGTCCAGGGAGCTCAAAGGTCCTGCTCTGCCTCTCAGGACTGAGCATCAAAGGGACAGAGGTTTTGTTTCCAGGTGGGCTCTGCTCTCTGGGCAGATCTCACCTGGGGTTTAAGGGAGCTCACCCACCTCCTCCTGCTGAGCAGAGTTTTCAGGGCTTAGGTGACTAGGGAGTGGCCTCTTCATAATTCAGCCGTTCAAAGTCCTCCTGAGAGCCGCGGTGGGCCACGCCTCCCGCGGTCCGTGCTCGCTTCACTGATGGAGCCCCTGGCCCTGTCTGGTGGCGCTGCAGCTCACAGGCCCTGAGCCCACGGGCAGCTGTGATCCTGGGTGAGGGAATATGACTGGATGGACCACGGCAGGACCCAGGGACTCTGCCACACTGTGGCCACAAGAGGTCAGTCCCCAGGCAGCAGTTCTGTGGAGGACAGGATGGTCCTTCTGTGTGACCGTCATCATCACAGAGGCCTTTTTCGGTACCATTATGATGCCCAGGTCATAGGCTACCTACTTTAAAGCATCATTTGATTTGAGAAAAATCCCAGTGGCAGTCACAGTGTAGCCAGTTCTTTGGGATTTGTTATGATTCAGAAATTCAGTTTAACAAATATTAAGGTACATATATCCAGGGGAATCAGAGATGGACAAGAGATTGTCTCTGCTCTTCCAATTGCTTATAGTTTACAGAGACAGCATTCTTAAGAAATTCCTGGGAGGGGGGATCGGGATGGGGAATGCATGTAAATCCATGTCTGATTCATGTCAATGTATGGCAAAAACCACTACAATATTGTAAAGTAATTAGCCTCCAACTAATAAAATAAATGGGAAAAAAAAAAAAGAAATTCCTGTGGAAGTCAGGATGGGAGAGGTGTTATAATAGTATAGAGTTTTATCCATTAGGAGTTGTGTTCAGCTTTGAGTAAGAGACCAAAATATTGGGCATTAAACAATGTAGGGGTTTGTTGTTCTGTTATGTAAAAGAGATCTAGAGGCAGGTGGCCCAGGACTGGTATAGTTAGCTGTGAGATGTCATTAGTGATGTCCATCTTCAAAATCCCCTCATGGTCACAAGATGACTGCTCAGCTCCAGCCATCCTGCCCACATTCTCCTGGCCAGAAAAATGAGGAAAAGTGCAAAAGATGCCTTCCAGCTGAGTCAGCTCCATGTTTTAAGGAACTTTTCCAAGAGCTCTTCCCACCAACTTCTACTTGTACTTTAACAGCCAGAACTTAGTCCCAGGACCACTCCCACAAAACCAGTTTCTCATTAAGTTAGGAAAAGAAAGCAGGATGTTTGGATAGTCACTTAGAAGTCTCTGCTGCAAAGTAAGGATTGGGAAAGAAAGATTAATTCTAAATGAAAAGCTTTGGGAGTATTTCCCTGGGGTCCTGGGACTTTAGCCAGGCCTTGAAAAGTGGGTAGGTTTCAATAAGTGGTTCTATGAGGGGAAGGGAATGGCCTTCCAGACAGAGAAAACAATCTGAGCAAAGACCCAGCAGTTCCAGAGAGCCAAGCAGCTCAGGAGTCACCCAAGTGCCTGGAATACCAAGGGTGGGGAGGCTGGGGGTGGAGCAGGAGAGAAGAATGCTGAGCTGGGTCAAGTCACTTTGAGTTCTCAGTGCCAGGTCAAGGGCTTTGGACTTTATTCTGGATGCATTAGGGAGGGCTTGGGGCAGTTTGTTCCAACAGCACAAGTAAAAGCAGTCACGCTTTATCCTGAGGTGTGCATCTTAGCCCTCGGCCTTCCTGTGCCAGGATTCCCTGGTGGCTCAGATGGTAAGGAAACTGCCTACAATGAAGGAGACCCAGGTTCCGTCCCTGGGTCGGGAAGATCCCCTGGAAAAGGGAATGGTGACCTGCTCCAGTAGTGTTGCCTGGAGAATCCCATGGACAGAAGAGCCTGGCGGGCTACAGTTTATGGGGCCACAAAGAGTCAGACACAACTGCATGACTGACACACTTCATGTTCCAACCACACAGATTTCATTACAAACAACTGTATGAGATCTGAGGCCCCCAGCATCTCTAGGCCAGAGCTGAGAGGATAGCTGCACTCTCTGGGAAGTATAGCATGGAGGTTAGAATCTAGGGTCAGACTGCCTGCGTTCAAATCCTGCCTCTACCACTTACCTGCTGTGGGCCCTTGGGTGATTTACAAAACCCCTCTGTGCCTCAATTTCCCAATTTGTAAATGGGAATGATTAAAGATGGTTCATCCCTCTTGGGGCTGACGAGAAGATGAACAGTGCCTGGTTTAGGAAGTGCTTTTAGGACTAGCTGTTGTGACCAGCATTGCCTCTGCCTGACCCCTGCCTCTCTGACCAGTGGCCTGACCTTCCCTTGTGTCCCCTCTGAGGAGCAGTATGAAGAGAGGTTTCTGCAGGAAGAAACCGTGTCCCAGCAGATCAAATCCATCAAGCTCCTGCAGACGCGGCCACTGCCTCCACCAGAGGTGGTGAAGCCACAGCGACCCCTGCGGAGACAGGTCCACCTGCGGGGCCGGCCAGCCTCCAGGCCCACCGTAATCCGGGGCATCACCTACTACAAAGCCAAGGACCCCGAGGAGGAGAATGACATCGAAGAGCATCGTGAGTTGGGGTCAGCAGGGCGGCCCCCTGGAGGCAGGGCGGGAGAGAGTCCCCGTTTGGACTCTGCGGAGGGGGCACTTCCCGTGAGCCACACCCGCCTCCGGCAGTTTACTACTGTGGCCCCGCAGAGCCAGCCTGGTTACTGAGAATTCCCCGCAGTTACAAATTATCCAGAGTTCTTACTGCCTTTCCTCACAGCCTGCTGAGCGCCCTGGGGCAAGTCGCTGGCCTTCTCTGGGCTTTCAGAGGACCGCAAGGCAGAGCGAGGAGGAGCGCCCTCCCCATCCTCAGATGAGCGCAGGAGGCGTGGAGGGGATGACTCGTGCAGAGACACACAGCGGCTTCTCCCGCCTGCTCTTTCTCGGGGCACCCTGGGCTTCCTGACCGGGACTGCAGCACCTACCTACCCTTTCGTCCTTCTCACTCTTTCACAGAAAATAGATACTCCTTTTCACCTCATCTGTGTCTGGTTTCCCTTACACGCCCTACCCCTGGGCTATTTCCTGCCACCGGCCCCGCTTTCCTTCTCTCTGTCCCAGCCCAGCATCCCAGGAGGCCCAGCTTCTTCCCCTGTCGCCGCTATGCCAGTTCCTCCCATCCGGTCCGCCTCAGCTGCCTCCTGATAGATTCTGCTCCCCTAGTCGCTGGCATAATCAGTTTGCCCATTTTTAACTGTGTAACGTTTTAATTTATTGATTTGTGGGAGTTCCCTGGTGGTCTAGTGGTTAGGATTCAGGGCTTTCACTCCTGTGGCCCAGGTTCAATCCCTTGTCGGGGAACTGAGATCCCACAGCCTCTCGACATGGCCAGAATATATAATGGATTTGTGGGGCTTTTATATTCTGGGACAAATCCTTTGTCAGTCACATGTATTGCAGATATTAATATTTTATTCCTGCCCATGGCTTGTATCTTTAGTTCTTTAATGATCTTTTTGATAAGCAGATAAAATCCAGTTGACTAATTATGTCTTCTGTGGTTAGGCCTCTTTGTGTCCTAAGCAAACACTCCAGCTTAGTATTCCTTTTCTGCTCAAAACCCTGCAGACTCCCCCGTTTCACGCAGGATAAAAACTGAAGGCCAAGCCCAGCAGCCGAGCCCTACATGACCTGGCTGCTGCGTTCCCTCTGACCTCTGCCCCCTCACTGCTCCTCAGCCTCAGCTCATGTGTTCTGGCCCCAGGGCCTTTGCACCGCTGCTGTTTCTCCCCCTGTCACCTGCTTGGCTAACTCCCTCACTCCCTCAAGCCTCTGCTCATCTCTCCATCCCACCGAGTCTCATCTTGACCACTTTATCCATGGCTGCAAATCTCCCACCCCCTCCCTTCCCTTCACCCTACCAGACCTTTCCTCGTAGACCCCTTCAGGTAGACAATCTGATGTTTGGCGTCTAAGATCTAATGTTTGGTGTCTCCACCACTAAACAGAAGCTCCGTGAGGGCTCATTGTGGTTATACGTGCTCCATGGATACCTACTGAGCAAATGACTAACTTCCTCCCAGGTTTTATAGGCCTTGGCTGTGATCCCTGGGTGGTGGGTGGAGGCAGACTATTCAGAGACCCACCAGGAAATGCTTCCATCTGTGCTCCTTTCACCTTCTTCTCCTAAATCCCACCTGGGCTCCACTCTGAATCAGGGTATCCTATGGCCAGTTCATGTTGATGCATGGCAAAAACCATCCCAATATTGTAAAGTAATTACCCTCAATTAAAATTAATTAATTAACTTTTTAAAAATAAAAATAAATCAGGGTACATGCTGATGAAAGAAACCCTCACTAATCTGCCACATACCACATGTTCCTGACTCCCGAGTCACAAATGCACCTGTGTTTGCTTCCCAGAAGATGAATTTTTCAGTGGTGAACACGGAATGGATTTGCTGATTGAAGATCAGCTTCTGAGACACAACCAGCTGCTGACCAGCGCCACCCGGAGGCCAGCAGCCACCGGTCACAGAGCCGCTGTGACAACTGATGCTGGCACCACCAGCGCGGGCGCTCCGACCACAGCCCTGCCTTCCGCACGGCCGCCGGCCTCCACCTCAGCCCCCAGCGCCCCTGACCCTACAGTCTCTGCCTCGGTCGAACAGTTCTCAACAACGCTCCAGACGACCTCAGTGTCTCCAGATCCCACGGGGGAGGCAGTCCCTACACCTCTCACTCAGGTACCAGCTACCACTGTGGCCCACACAGCCACCCAGCAACCGCCAGCCTCAGCTCCTCCGTCAGTGGCTCCTGAGGATGCATTTGTGGAGGCGACGCACACAGCCCCAGTGCCTCCCCCTCCAGTCAGGACAGACTCACCAGGGGAAGATTCTGCTGCCAGGCAGGGCACAGTGCCCTCTGGCCCCACCCTGAGCCCTGAGGAAGAAGATGACATACGCAATGTCATAGGTGAGTTCCTTCTACCTGGCTTGAGTCTCCTGCTCAAATGAAAGGCTGAGCCTGAAAATAGCTTGAAAGGAGAGGGGGAAGTCAGAGGCTCCAACCGCTTCATAAAGAAAGCCAAGTGGAGTTACGCCTTGGGCAATGATCAGTTTTAACATCTAGGGTCTGTATTCAAAATGTGCCAGTGACAAGAGTGGAAAACTCCTTTCTAGAATAAAATTAGTGGAGCTAAGATCTCAGCTTCATTAATAAGTTTTATAAACATTTGTCCAATTCTAGGCTTTGTGATGGGTGTTGGATATTTGGTTATTTAGTGACGACTACGTTTTCTGCAATATGTTTACCAGGCCATGAACTAACAAGAGATTCTTATGTGTGTGTAGGCAGGGGGATTCCAGAATATTAGAGGAGGGAACAGGGAAATAGTGAGCCCCAGGGAACAAATCTCATTAGCCCCTGGCCTTAGAAAGCATGGGAACATCATGCCATCATGTGATAAGTGATATAACAGAGGAGTGGAGAGACGGGGGAAGAGGGAGCCGCAGAGTGGCTTGGCAGCTAAGAAGGTTGGGAAAGCTTTTCTAAGAAGGTATCCTTTGAGCTGAGTTTTGAAGGATGAACAGGAGTTTGCTAAGTGGAAAAGGAAAGTCTTCTGACTGGGTAGGTCTAAATAAACGGGGTGTGTTCCAGAAACAGAGGCTATAGCCCTGCTCTGTGCCTGGGAGCTCCATGGCCGAAAGATGACTCTGAGAACAGTGAAACGGGAAAGTGTGTGTGTGTGCGTTTCTGGGGGCGGGGAGGGGGGGTGCAGCTAGGAAAGGAAGTGGGACTTGGCCACAGATGGCTTTTTCAAAGACTTAAACATTCATTAAGTCACCATCAACACTGATTGAAAAATAACACTATTGAATCATAATTTCATTAGAAATATACCTGAGTTGACAGAGATGCAATCTGCCTTTTACCTTTCCTCCCCCTCTTCCCATTTTCAGCCCCGTTGGCAGCCTCTTTCCCAGTTCCTCCTCAGAATAAGGTGCCAGCAGCCAGACGCCTGGTTATGGCCTAGTCTCTGCTGCGGAGAGCTATGTGACCTTGGCCAGATCGCTGCCCTTCTACGGGTCTCAGAAATTTACTAAAGATTCTTTCCTCAATTGGGAATTCCTGATAGCTCAGTGGGTAAAGAATCTGCCTGAAATGTAGGAGACCCCGGTTTGATTCCTGGGTTGGGACGATCCACTGGAGAAGGGACAGGCTACCCTCTCCAGAATTGGTGGGCTTCCCTTGTAGCTCAGCTGGTAAAGAAAGTTTCTGCAGTTATATCCTGTAGTGAGTGTATCAGGCCATGATAGAGCAAGGAATTCTTATTGGGTGAAAAAGAATCCCAGAGTAATAACAAGGAAATAGCCAGTCATATGGACCCCAGGGCAAAATCTCATGAACCTTGACCAGGAGAAAGCTAAGCAAGAAGACAGTTCTTGAGCCACAGAGGTTGGAGTGGGAGGAAAGAATGTTTTTCTTTTTGTCTCTTTCACTGTCAGGGTGGGAGCAAACTGACCCCAGAGTAGAAGATCCATTTCTCACTGCATGGAGAATCAGTTCTGAAGCTGTGGATCTTGCTCAATTTCTGCAGAATGCCCCAGGGTCCAAGCAAAGGGTCCACTTCCACACTGGCTCTGGGCAGCCTTGACCTTGCTCACGGGCCCACAGACCCTGAGCCCAGCACCCCATCTCCCCACTGCCACGGGAGTGCGCTCCCCAGGGCCTCATACCTCTACCACTCAGGTGACAGGGACAGTTCCTCCAGAAACTTAGCCAGCTGCCCGCCACCATCGCTTCACAGGTGGGTGGAGTACAGGCTACAGGCAGGTCCACCCACCTCGTATGTCCTCAGTGATGGTGTTTGCCCCGCTGGGAAACTCTTCCCTTGGTGACTTCCTAGCCAGTAGGAGAGGGGCTTCCTCTCCAGTAAAGAATCTGCCCGCAATGCAGGAGACCTGAGCTCGATCCCTGGGTTGGGAAGCCCTGGAGAAGGGAAAGGCTACCCACTGCAGTATCCTTGCCTGGAGAGTTCCACGGACAGAGGAGCCTGGTGGGCCACAGGCCGTGGGGCTGCAGAGCCGGACATGACTGAGCGACTAACGCCTTCACGTTCAGCCGTTGCGTTCTCCACCGTCTCCAGGGTGTCGCCACCAGCGCGCTTTTCCGACGGGCATCTTCCTGTGGTTCTTAGGTCTCGGGACTCCTCTTCCTTCATTAGCCTGACTGAGACGCCCAGACAAGAAAAACCCCGTGTCCTGGCAGTTGTCTACCTGGCAGTAGGAGCAGGAGATGGGATACACTTTCTCTTGTTGTTCAGTGTTCTGTTTGACCAGAATAACATTGTCACAGAGGGGCTTCCCTGCTGGCTCAGGGGTAAAGAACCCGCTTGCCAATGCAGGAGATACAGGAGACAGTTCCTGGGTTGGGAAGATCCCCTGGGGAAGGAAATGGCAACCCACTCCAGTATTCTTGCCTGGGGACTGCCATGGACAGAGGAGCCTGGCGGACTACAGTCCGTGGGGTTGCAAAAGAGTCGGACACAACTGAGCGACTGTACAACAGGGGATGTCAGCTTCTGCTTAAAGACTGGCCTGTGGGATTTTTCAAAAGAGCTGGGGTTCTTTTTTAAATTTTATTTTGTGTTGGAACATGGTTGATTAACAGTGCTATGTTAGCTTCAGGTATGCGGTACAGTGATTCAGTTATACATGTGTTGATGCCAATTCTTATTCAAATTCTTTTCCCCTTAGGTTATTACAGATTGTTGAGCAGAGTTCCCTGTACTGTGCAGTAGGTCCTTGTTAGTTATCTGCTTTAAATACAGCAGTGTATAAATGTCCCAAACTCCCTAACTGTCCCTTCCCCTCAACCTTTCCCCTGATGATTATAAATTCATTCTCTGTGACTCTATTTCTGTTTTGTAAATAATTTCATTTGCATAATTTTTTTTTAGATTTCGATATGTGCCTTTCTCTGGCTTATTTCACTTAATATGATAAACTCTAGGTCCTTCCACGTTGCTGCAAATGGCATTATTTCATTCTTTTTAACAGCTGAGTATTATTCCATTGTGTATATGGACCACATCTTCTTTATCCATCTGTCTTACACAGAGGATGTAAGCTTCTGCTTAAAGACTAGCCTGTAGGATTTTTTTCAGAAGATCTGAGATTCTTGCCTCTTGTATCTACTGCAGAAAAAAACAAAGGGACATGGACACAGATATAAGTGTTTCTTCAAATGCCAAGGGGTGAAAAGAGGGGGTGGCACAGAGAGAAGGCAGTGTGGAGTCTTGGCAAGTTTTCTCGGGAATCATTTTCAATCACGCATTGCTGCCACATGCTTCTCTCAGGCTGCTGTTAGTGTGGATGGGATTTCTTCTCTGGAACCTTCTCAACACACTTCCTGCCTGCCTGTGCCTGGCCAAGTAAGACTATATGTAGCCTTCAGTTAAATAAAAATCATTTGTCTGAAACCAACACACGCCACTGACTTGCTACCTGTGAAAGGTTGTTTGCTGTTTAATGAACCTGGAAATTTTGAGTTTCAGCTGTTTAAATGGTTTTAAATGGGGCTGCTTTTAGAAGGAACATCCTATCCTGTGGTTTCCAAACCTGGTTTTGTGGCGCCCTAAAATGTCCACCAGTTTCCCCAGGGGAATTGTAAAACTCTCAGAAATATTCCAAAAACAAACAGAATTAACTTTTGGCCAAAGCATAGTTGCTCTAGGACAAGAGAGGAAAAACACAGTCAGTGCTGGGAGCTGGGCTCCAGGAGGGAAGGGAGGGGACTGGTCACCATCCTTGGTGGCGTGGGGAGCGCTGGTCAGGCTGGTGCCCCATGGCCAAGGCTTTGCAGAGTCCCAGACCTTACGGACTGCCACGCGTGTTGTAGGAGAGGCTGGTTTGGGGCAGAGTAGGGAGGCGCAGAGGACAATCAGGATGACAGCAATACCAGAGAGCCTGCCTCATGGCTGAACCTAGAAACGGGATCCGATGAAGACCACCTCTTCCACAAAGTAAATGACCGTGACAACCCCCGAGGCCTGGCCAGCCACGCTGGCTGTGGGCCTGAGACGGCCTGAGGGAGGTGGTGCCGACATGGGCAGGGCAGTGCCGGCCAGAGCCTCCACAGCGCCCAGACTCGGTACCGAGGACTGTCCCATCGGCGGCCCGGAGTCATGTGACAGGCACCTTTGCTGGCCCAGCTCCACAGACACACCACGCTCTCACTGTGCTGATCAGACCCCTGAAACCACAAGGAGCCTCTGTCAGGACGCAGAGGCCGCTGGCCCTAGAAACACAAGTGTAAAGTGGAGCGGCTCCCTGTGAATGGATCACAAGTATAAAGTGGAGCGGTTCCCTGTAAATGGATCACAAATATAAAGTGGAGTGGCTCCCTGTAAATGGATCACAAATACAAAGTGGAGCGGCTCCCTGTAAATGGATCACAATACAAAGTGGAGTGGCTCCCTGTAAATGGATCACAAATATAAAGTGGAGCGGCTCCCTGTGAATGGATCACAAGTATAAAGTGGAGCGGCTCCCTGTAAATGGATCACAAATATAAAGTGGAGCGGCTCCCTGTAAATGGATCACAAGTATAAAGTGGAGCGGCTCCCTGTAAATGGATCACAATACAAAGTGGAGTGGCTCCCTGTAAATGGATCACAAATATAAAGTGGAGCGGCTCCCTGTGAATGGATCACAAGTATAAAGTGGAGCGGCTCCCTGTAAATGGATCACAATATAAAGTGGAGCGGCTCCCTGTAAATGGATCACAAGTATAAAGTGGAGCGGCTCCCTGTAAATGCATAGGGAGGAGTCTGCGCCTGCCTGCAGGGGTACAGGCCACTCCTAATTCACTCGGCCCTCCGCTGCACTGGCTGGGAAAGGGGCTGCACTCTGGTCACTCCCACGGAGGTGTCACCAGCAGGGGCTGCAGGTACTAGAGTGGACAGGTCTGGC